TCTACCATCATCAATGCAACATCATGGAGAAACGTTAATACAACACTGGATGGAAATAAATCTGGTGACATTGTAGAAACTTATCCAAACTATGCCACGGTGAACGTGTGCCATAATGAAAGCTAAAGGAGGTCCAACCAAATACGTATTAGAGTGTGTGACTTTTTTGGTTGTGTTAACACAGGGTGCAGAATATTCGTTTTGATTTCCATTCACTGCAAGGATTTATTACAAAAACCTCAAAGCATAATGGTGTCTGGAAGGAAAGAAACCAGAGACCCACTTCACAGCTCTCCCCACCTCTTCCTCTTCAGCACATCCTCATCTCTCACTAAGGTTTACTCTGGTTTCAGACTCCCACCCTCTCTTCCCATTACTTCATTGTTTGCCAATTCTTCTTTCACCGTTTAGCTTTTCTAAAAGTACTGCCACACTTTGGACCTCCACCCAGTCTGCCCAGCTTTCCCATGTCATCATGTTTTCCCAATCCAAGCTGTGAAAATTCTAAGAAGACACTTTAAAAAAGTGAAGCGTTTATTTTTTGATGAACTACTCAAAAATGTTTTCTCCTTTTGTTAATTTTTCACTTTTTTTTTCCATTTTCCCACTATAAATCAGATGTCTGGCACTGCTTTTCCCCCCTCATCTGGTTCTGCGCTGGCTGGTAGAAACAAAGAAGAGCAAAAAAAATAAATAAAACTAAATAAACAGAGCTTCTAAATATCACACTTGTGACAGTAAAACCATAATAAAGTGCAATAGCACAAGCTATCCCCCCGAAGTCAGTGCTCAGATGGTTTTGTTGGGACGGGAAACAAGAAAGTGGCGCAAACACAACAAATGTCTAAACGGTAAACATCATTTGCAGCAGCTTGTGTTAACACAGAGTGGAGTCCACATTCAAGTCTGTACAGGACCACATGCAAAGAGCGCTGGAAGCATTCTCCCACTGCTAATCTGAACCAGATCCAATTTACTAACATTTTGATAACTATTACCATAACAACATGCCGTGAGCAGGTTGTAGTTTTCTCTAAAGCAAGTGCAGGGCTCTGCAGAGACGTCAGACAGGTAGGACAAGCTGAGCCTCCTTGCATAATGCAAAACTAAACTGTTTACTTCAGGGTATGTGGGTCAAAATAAGCCAACCAGCAGCTGGGGATCACGAACGAAGCACTTCTCTATTAGCTGACAGTGACTGCAGATTTACAGATTAAAATGGTTTCAGTTTTACAGGACAGACTTGGATCAGTCCTTTCAACATATCAATATATTTTGATGTAAACCACTGCAGCTCAATGAACCTCTTCCCCAGGATCAAGACTTCTGCAGCCTGTAAAGGGTTTCGTTTTTTCTTCCAGGATTGTCCATGCATGTTCCCTGAGCACCCCCACACCATGGTGCTGCCACCACCATGTTTCACAACGAGGTCATTGTGTTCAAAGTGATGTGCAGTGTGTTTTCTGCCACATGCTGTTCAATGTTTGGGTCAAAGAGTTCAGTTTTGGTGTGAGCAGAGCTCCTCCTCCTGCATGTTTGCTGTGTTCTTACAGGGCTGGAGCTGCAAACAGGACAACTTATGGCTTTCCTTCAACAACGCCCGTGGTCTTAAAGGGGCAATATCATGTAAAATCAACTTTTTTGAGTTTAATATCATGTTATAATGTTATACTCTCATAAAAAACATGCCTAAAGCCTTGCTTTGACTCATTCATGCATGTTTGATAAATCCTGCAGTGTTTTTAGGAAGTCATGCTGAGGAGCAAAACGACAGGTGGGGACCAGAAACACCTTTTGGTACCAGAAACGCCCCTGGGACAAGGGCTGTGTATTGGCAAGAATTTGGCGATACGATACATACCATGACAGAGGGGTCACGATACGATATATCCCGATATATCCCGATATATTTCAATAC